AATTCATAGCCAACGTATGACCGCCAAACAGTGTCTGAACCACACGTGGTTGCGGGTGAGTGTCACGCCTACGCCTCCACCAGTTCCAGGTTTAGATGAGAGCAAACTTTTTGAGGTATAGTTACGATTTCCATACGGTTTGCAGTTGTGCTGTCAATCCCATCAATGCAACCAAACCATTGGAATCTTGGAATCCACTCTAGTTTTTGGATATCTTGATCATTTTTTTGCAATTGTAGTCAATTTGAAATTAGAAATTTGTGTTTAATCTACACTTGCATTTGATTTGATTTAATGATACATTTGATTTGGTAATACAATGTTTGTATTCAATTTGAATCATTGATGAAATGTTTAAATATAAATATTAATTAAGTTACTATTAGTGGAGTTTTAAACATCCATTTATTTCCTACAACCCATTAATTTTTATTCACAATTAATCGCATCGATTGTGAGTGAAATGAACTGAAGTTTGCAACATAAAGAGACTCATTTCTCATAATTAATAAAATACTTAAACAATTAATTTATATTAATTGAGATAAAATATATATAAAATATATTTTATATTTGAGACATGAGTTTTCTTAAATGAGATATTTGATACCATAGTTAGAAATGATTACTTTATTTATGAATTATGGCCTAATTATATAAAATACTTATTAATTAATATGAATTTAAATCAAATGAATGACAGAAAGGAAAGAAGAAGAAGAAGAACGAACAATCACTCGATAAGAAAAGGCTTAAGAAATTTGTAATACGAAGGCGATGGCAGGTATGGCAGCTATTTGCACCCATACTACTATTTATATCAACCAATATTAGTTAATCATTTGACAAAACTAATAAAACAGCTGCAGTTATTAATATCACAAATATACAAACATTCAATGAAATTATCTGTCAGAGTGTATGACAAAAGGTTTTTTGAATGTTTGAATGTTATGATAACTTAGAATTGTCAAAAAAGTCAAGTGTCATATTATTTAAAAATTGGCTCAAACTCTAGTCACTAGACTCTAGGGTACATCAAAAATCATATGAATTTATAATCAATTAAAGAATCAAATAGTATTAATAGAAATGACTGCATTATATTGATTCAAAAGCTATTAATAGTGATATAATATTAATACTTTCGGTTTACAAGTTAGAAACATTCACTACTACTGCATGTCTTAATAATAATTTTATAAATATTTTGAAAGTCGATGAATCGAAAAGAGTGTATAAATAATACTCTAATTGTTAATATATATTTAATTGTATTTATATTTGTATTGAATGAACAGAAAGCCGTCAATGCAATTCTGGCACTTAAGAGAATGGGAGCCTTGTTTTGACTTAAAGTTGCCTGTTTAATCAATAGTTTGGTATAACATGCACAAACATTGAGGTATAGTAGGCTTATTATTTGATACAACCGTATTAATTGTTTATGTTTATTTACATTGAACAGATATAATTCATACATAGTTTGCAAAACATTGTATAACAAGAATTGGTTTTTCCGGAATCATTGGTTAGAATTTTAATCCAAAATTCAAGACAACATTAATTGATCAAGATATCATTTGATTAATAATAATAAAAAGCGTGTGAAATGTGGCAAAAGAGGCTAATCTAACGAGTTTGAGGACTGTTTATAATAATTGTTACATTGTATAAAAAAAGTTATCAAAAAGTTTAATATTAATAACAATTTGTGACTTCCCTTTCTCTCTATAAATCTCTGATGCCTTTGAAATCACTATTTTTACTGACAAAACCAAATACAGAAATTAATAAACAATTTTATTATTTATTTTCTCAAATTATGATTAATTGTATATTTTGAGTTTATTTTCTCAATTATTTATATTTTAGTTTTTGTTTATTGTTTTGATTGTCTGTTGTTTTTGTTGAAGTTTTTGTTTTGACTTCTTTTTTGAGACTTTGTTTGTGAGGAAAAAACATTTTAGTTGAATATATTTGAACTAAATTTCATCCAAAAAGTGTGATAATCGTTATGCGATGTATAATGTATTTCACTATTAATTATAATAAATTGAAATATGATTCAAATTAATTAATTTTATGTTTTTTGTAATTTTAAAAATAGAAACTACAAATGAACTAATCCTCAAGAAAACAATAACTGTATTATAAGTTACTATCATTGACTAACTTCACCAATTAAATTATCATTTTCGTTATTCCAATATTAATTTATAGGAATTAATTTTATTGTGTATTGTTTTTATTATAAAATATATTTTATAGATTATAATAAAATTTAACACATAATTTATCCAGAAACATTACTATAGTTAACTAATATATCATACTGCATAAGTATGTTAGAAATAATAATAATGCATTATTATTGAATAGCATTTTATTAGTTCCAAAGACATCCACTATTAAGATATCATAATATCTTAAGACCTGTTGTAGATATGAATACCACATAACAGATGGTGCATATGATGGCTTACATCCAATCTAAATTTATTTGATATACATTTTATTCTAAGATTCTATGTTTGCTAACATTAGAGATACTTTTTAATTAAATATTTTATGTAAACCGGTATTAACTTATAAAAGTTAATAATTAAATTAATAATTATCTATAGTATATTTGGTATATAGTATGGAGAGAGAGAGAGAGAGAGAGAGAGAGAGAGAGAGAGAGTTCATTTGTCTATTTGGTGACCATCATCCATACCTCTGGGCATTAAGTAAAATACTGTTGCTTTTAAGATAAGTTTATGAAAATGGGTGGATATAATTAGAGTTTAAATAATTATCAAGCATATTTGCCTACTATTTTTGAATTTGAATATCGGTAATTGCTTTTTATAAAGAAGTGTATTTTGATTATTAATTACTTTGATATTGTATTTAAACTGGATGTCAAATAGTTTGATCGGACACAATTAAAGACTGGACACATGAACTTTATTAATGAATGCAAAGTTTGACTAATATACTCAATGAAATCGTAAACTCATTGATAATTTTGCATTTTTATAGTAAATAATTTGGCATTCAATTCTATACAACTATACCTATATATTAATATTTTGAATACTTAACTGAAATCAAACTAATTCTATAATTACTCAAATTTCTAAAATATATTGATCAATTTGTATTATATGGTATTAAAATCACATTCTTTTCAATACATTTTGTTAAACATCAATAATTGTAGAAATCACGAAAATTAGTACACAAATTACAATTATTGTATAGACATAAAATATTTCTATTTTAGATGTTTGTAGAAATAGTTTAAAATAAATCAAAATAAATAATTTACTAGATTCTTGAATTTAGCACTTTTGCAAAAAAAATTATAACAAATTTATATAAAGATAGAGTGGCATAAAATGTTGCATCGGTTATGGTTTTGGTTTATTCCCAGATTTTAAAATTATTTTAAAACTTATGTTTAACATTTGTATAAAAATGAATTTTTCAATTACCGGAATGTGAATATTAAACATACTTTCATTAATAACTGCTATAAATGCAAATATAATCTATATTGAAATCATTAATTACTATAAAGTTTATCAAATTTATTTGGATTTAAATAAATTTATAAATGTTAAATAAACAATTTACATATAAACATAAAATCCAGAAATAATTAATTAGTTTTTATTTATTTATTATAATTGCTTTCTATATATTATCACTTGAATTTCATGCTGATGCTTTCATTTTTTGTAATTGAAGTCACAATAAAAATTTATTATTGCATTGTTTTAAATTGCATTTTCAAATTCTTTTCATTTTACCAGTTTATTCCAGTTTACCAGTTTATTTACAAGTGTAAAAATGTAAGTCAAATCATAATTTTAGGACCACCAGGATAATTTCATGTTTTAACTTATTTAATTATTACCAATAAGATAAGTGTGGTATAAATGAAAACAATAATAATTTCAATTTGAATACATTGTAACTGTTGATACGGAACATTGGAAATATAAACGATATTTTAATTAGAAATATACAAAAAAATGTTTTAAAAAGTTAAAAATAATTTCTCCTTCTTAATTGAAAAGTAGAAGTAAAACATTTCAAGATTTTTAAACACTTTTTTAATTAATAAAACAAAAAATATAATTTTCAAAATAGATTCCTACATTTCAGAAGGTTTCTACATTTGAATTTCTAATTAATCTACAATTCTTTATATTTTTAACCTTACTCAACTGGTGCATTTAATTTACTGTGTAAAATAATATATCAAAACTAATTTAAAGGTTTTATTGGCTATAAATTATTTCTAACGCTATTGTCATTCAATTACAATCAACGCATAAAAACTACTGACAAAGTGTTTATACAACTCTTCAAAAAGAAATTGTTTTTCATTTAAATTTCTGGAAAAATTTTTAGCACTTAAACGGTATTTCACTTATAGTTTATTTTTGTTGAAAAATTATTTCCAATATATATCTTATTTATTTTACAAAGTTTGAATACACATAGAAAAAGTGACTCAAATTACTTTTGTGCTGAGATTTAACTTGAAAACAATTCTTAATAGTTTTGTTGAATCTATTTTTGGTTTATTCAGTCATTAGGTTTGTAGAGAAAATGGGAGCAAAGGAACTATTTTTCGAAAACAACCCAAAATTGAAAAAATTGTTAAATGTATTAATAAATTGAGTCTCAAATTGAATAAATCAGTTACGTTTGAAAACAATAATAACAAGTCATGGAAATATGTGTTTAAATAAAATATTAGTTATTGTATTTCAATTCAATTAACTAATATTTGTTAGATTAAAGAATTAAAACAAAGTGTAAGCGTATGCCTAAATGGCTTAAAATAGACGCTAACTATTGGTACGGTATGTCTGATAACTGTAGGAAAGTGTAAGTTTTGCACATCTGATGACAGACTTAATTATGACTAAGTTTTTGATGAGAAACAAAAATGGAGAGCGAATACAGAATCCGATGTAAAAATAGGGGAAAATTCTGTGAATATATGAACGCAAAGAAAATATACAGATAATGACGATATGAATGTCTGAGACTCCAGTTATGACATCAAATAACTGTTGGTTTTAATACATAAAACATTTAAGACATTGGGTTAGGGGTTTGAAATGAAAGACATCTACTGTGTTAGGGAAGGCATATCCGCGAGTGGAAGGCCAGGCGTTTTGGCTCCGATCCCTTGCGCTCTCATTTGCAAACACTGTATGTCTCTTACGATTACGCAATCAATAAAAACAGTCGTCGAGAGCCTTAAAAGTCTTCGGAAGTGAACCAGTATTTGGTTTAGTGATGGCATTGGTGTGCGAGTCGTGTGCAAACACTTTCATTACAGTTAACCATCAACTGTGCGATTATATGGCACATCCCAGCGCATCCCTACTCATCCCAAACGCATACACACACCGATCCCACCCATCCATCGGCTTTGATCCGAAATTTCTTAGGAATACACGGATTTGAAAAGAATTTTATTTAGAGATCAAGTTTTGGCTGAATTAGTCGAGTGATTATCTCCCTGTCTGCAGTTTGACTCAACACCCCAACTAATATCCAGTAAGTTTTACCCAGTTAATCATTTTTTCATCCAATTATACTTCTAATTAAAAAGTATTTTGTAAATAAATTACTTTATTTATCAATATCCTAATATTCTATGCGTTATCTGATTAATTATTTTTTCATATGATTTATTGCTTTAATATATAAAAAAGTTTTCACAACTTCTGTGTTATTCGAGATAATCAACAGAATATAATAGGTTTTCATAAATTATAAGCTAAGCATTACATCAAACATTGCAAATGCAATCAATGGGTGGGTCTCTGCTCTCAAGAATTTGTTTTTGCATTTAGATATGGCTTCAGAATAAATTCCTATTTGTCTGTAATTTTAGACCAATAACTGTATTGTAGTCAATATGTAAGAGAGATGACTCCCTAATATGGATTTCAACACAGAATATCTATAATCCAATGCATATGTATTTCATGTTTTGTCAATTTTTTTATATTTTTCATTTTAGGCAAAATATTTGCCAAAAGCGTCTTATAGGCTCTATTAGCAAAAAGTTATTTTAACAACATTTTAACATTTCAATCTCATTCGCCTTATGCCTGGTTATAGAGTATGCCGTTCACACCTGTCGCCCAGGCCAATTGTGGCAAATGCCAAAAGCCCGTCTACGCGGCCGAGGAGGTGCTCGCCGGAGGCCTTAAGTGGCATAAGATTTGCTTCAAATGTGGTATGTGTTCACACAAAATGCATTTATGAATGAAAACTTGTCTCTAATTGAAAATGAAATTAAATGGCATCTGAATGAACCCATAGATCTGTGCCACAAGCGATTAGACAGCACCAACAACAACGAGCATCAAGGTGCCCTGTACTGCAAACAGTGCTATGGCCGCAAATTCGGTCCCAAGGGGTACGGGTTCGGTGGTGGTGCCGGTGCCCTCAGCATGGACAAGGGCGAGCACTTGGGTAACCAGGATTGCCAGATGTCGTACGTATTCAACGCATGTATTGAGTGATGAGTATTAATGAGCCGATTGTGTCATTTGCAGAAACAAGCCCTCGGGTGTCAACAACTAAACGCCATTCAATTAGTGCCTATACTTCTCACTTAACACTTGTTTTCAATGTTTTCTCTTAATTCTCACTGAATTGAAAATCAAATAAATTAAATTAAAACTTCAGATATATTTTAAAATCATTTTGTTTAAAATCTTAAATAAAAGTTGACGATTAAAATTCTAATTGATTTAAAAATACACTGATTGGAAATAATTTTTATTGGTTACCTCAATATTCAGTTATGGTTTTCTCACCATTTGTGCCTTAATATTAGAAAAGTTGTCACAATTTTGTGCACATTTTTGCTAAATTATTGCTTTTGATAATTGCCGGAAATTCAGACCCTGATATTAGGGTCATGTTATGAATTATTGATTTGTTTTTTGTAGTCATTTTGAGTTCAATATATCAAATGTATAACTCTTGTGATTTAGAAAATTTTGTTATATAATTGAATTTTATTCTCAAGATTTCAATAAAAAGACATTTAAGTTGATTTGGATTTGAGATTTTCTTAAATAATATTCATTTATAACTACTTTGATATATTTAAAAAATACATTGGTTAAACTAGTTTTAAATTATAATACTTCTATAATTAACTTAATTGTATAAAGAATATGATATTCATGTCTGATATTTAAGAAAATTCTAAACAATTACAGCTAATGACTAACATTTTGTAAGATCTTACAAATTCTTTAGTAATCTCAGTTTATTGTAAGAATAGTTTGTTTTACTGATTTTAATTTTGACAAAACATACAAATTTTGTATAAAACTAGTAGTTTGCAGATATTATCACAAACTAAAAATCGTATTCACAATTAAGATATGTTCTGTGTCACTATTTATAAATTCATAATATTTGCATTATAGTACAGTCGTTTGATGGTATTTGAATAAACACCTAAAATTGACTAGACAATTTATCTATTTGTCTGCCTACTATCTATCTACTATTTGGCGCCAAAATTATTTAATAATATGAATTCTTAACTCACAGTTTAAAGCTCAGACTATTTTAATAAGATTTTTATTTTTTGTAATGTCAGCATTAAAATAAAATAAATATTTAGGTTTTATATTTTTATTTAAATAATGTTTATTGAATTTATGAGCATTTTAAACTAATATCTAAATTAATATTTATAAAATTCAATTCAATTCAAATGTTCAATCAACTGTTCTTATAAGTTATTATAATATTATATATTATTAATACTAAATTTTTTGTTGATAAATATTACTAAATATATTATTCTTTGCCCTTTGATAAAATATTTTCAAACCCAATTTATTCTAATACTCTTATAATATAATCGTATTTTAAATGTCATTTTAAAAGTGTTTCCCGGATTTTTTAATGAATCAAATTTTATTATACAGTATATACTAATTATTTTTTGAAAAAATAAGAAATATTTTTATAATAATTTAGTTTTATCAGAGATTTATATGATATGATAGACCTTTGATTAGTGAGTGGGTTCTCCAAACACCACTTGTTTGACTAAAAGATGTTTTTGAGAAAAGATGTAATCTACTGGTCCCAATAAAAGTGAATCAATTAATTTAGTGAATCAATTTTAGGAATAATTTAAACATAAGTTTTCTGACAACTTTACAGTCAGTGTGTGACTATTGATTGAGTCTATTGTATAAATTAAGGACAAATATGTTAGTATGCATATCCTATAGTACTGTACAGTGGTCTCAATGGATATAACTGTTGCCACAATATGATCCCATTAAGTATAAGGTCTTTGATAAAGAAATTGGAGTTACAGTCGCCTGTAATCCCATCACATCTTTTGAATTACAGATTCAGTAAAATTAGAGAACCAGTGAATGGAAGTGATATTGTTGTCGAATATATGCATGTATTGCTTGACTTTTCATTACATATTGCATTACAGACTCAAATTGATTTCATCCACTAATCCCTTTGTGGTCAATGAGAGCCCACTGTTTGCCTCACATCACAGATTTATTTTCATTTATACCCTCATTAATCCTTTTTTGGCAAAAGTTATTATTGAAAGCAAAACAACACCGCAAACACCTACAGAGGCTTTAATACAACGGCATAACCGCCGAAAACCCCTGACTTTCATTCCTTAACATAATATATAAATGAAATTTCTTCGGATATCTTCACTCACTTCTGGTCGCCATTCAAGACAAGTCGTCCATAAGAAGTCTAACATTGAGTTTGTGATCTTAGACTAAGAGTTAACTGTGGATGAAGTGTTTCATTTAATTCATATTATATTATAGTTAGGATTCATTCATTTTAAAATTCATTCATCTCGACATAATTACACAATTTAATGGATCTTTTGTATTTATCACTTTTATTCGCGGGTATGACTTGATGTGTAACTTTTTCATATTTTTATATACTATATTTGATAATTTTATATAAATGTATTATAACTTTCTTAAACTAACTTGTTTCATGAACATTTATAAATTCAATAATAAGGAAACGAGTTATCTGTGATATTTTTAAATAAATTATTTAATAAGTTTTCACTTGGCGGTAAATTTTGTAAAGGATTTTGATTAATAAGAAATGTTGTTAGTTCAAGGAACGGTAGGCCTTAATATGCTGATAATAATAAGACATATGCTAAATATATGGATATTTTGTGGCCTAACAGTGACTGTTAAGAGACTTTCTAATTCTTCATAACTATAACACTGCCTCAATGTCCACAATTGTCTAGTTTACAGTTGCTGTTTTGAGTTAGATACCTAGAAAATGTTTTAATAATGTTTGAAAAAGGTGGACGTTTAATAATTTACCAGAATTATTATTTTGTTTTAAGCTTATACAGCAAAGTGTTGCTCTGTTAAACTCGAAATATTATTACTTTTGTTTGATGTTAGCTAACCAAATATTGTTTATTATATTATACTAATTATCTAATTTTATACAAATATCTTTCTAAATTAGTAATCAAATCAATAAATGTGTTTACTCATAAATTCTTTTATATAACAATCCTTTCTATTATTAAATGTTATGTTCTTATATAAAGTTAGCGTAATTCCCTGTCAAACACTAATCCAAATATTGGTATAATTAAGAGTTAGTAGAATATTCAGTAAAAACAATAAAAAGTTTAATTTACTTATATTAATTTACCTATAAGACTGTATATAAACTAAAATTTAAATATGATTCAAACACCAGTTAAAACGACAATCGTTTCTATTATCTCTCATAACATCTTAGCCCAGATGATGGTCACAGTGTTGACCGAAAACGTTCGGCTAATTTCTTAATTTTATTTTTTAACTCCTTTTCACTGAAAATCAATAAATATTGAAACAAATAAGTCTTAAGTTAAAGATGATTTATTGTATACTAAACAATGATTTTTGGATCAAATCAATAGAATAAATTCTTTGATCTATTTTTCTAATGCTTGCCTACAATTGAATCTCTAATGTATGGAACAATTCTAATATTAAACTTTTTTACCTTTTCTATTCTGACAATTGATTTATAGCAATTTAATCAGTTAAAGCTATTTATATCCTTAATAGACATAATAACACTTTATTTTGCAATAATTGGATTAATGTAATGAAATGCGAGAGCAGTTATAATTAAAT